TACTTAACATACTGTATAAATGCTGAGTGAATACACTATGAGTATCTTCGGCTGACATAAAGATTTATCTTTTGCGGAGCTGGAATTAGTTAATCTTCAAGCAGCATGCTAACTGATGCTGTATCTAGGCAACATTTATGTCTTCATCCATTCAAAAAGCAAATGCAGTAATTGCTGTGTAATTATCAGGGTCTCTCCCCTCATGTTTTTCACTGAATTTAAATGGAAACAAATCGTATGGAGAGGGAAACCAGTGGACTTCAATCCCAACTTCAGTGCACAGATAAACCTCAGGCATGCAAGTAGTTACTGAAGAGGAGCCCATACTCTGTTCAACTTAAAATAGCAACAGATTTTTAATTCAAAACAATCTCTTTGAAATATATTTCAAATTTAGAAAGTCTCTGTTAGTAAGAAAAATACTATGGTAGTAAACACAAATATATTTCTGGAATTGCAAGCAACTTTTTCTCAGTTCTGCATTAGTGCTTTTTATCATTTGATTTGACAGGATACTACATATACAAATTGGAAATAAAGCAAATGAAAAATAAATTATAGCAGTTTATCATTTCTTCTGTTAGTGTTTATACTATGCATAAAAATTTTATATTGCAAAAATTGATAGTCAATTTCAATTCATGGTTTTAGTTTGATCAAATATGTTTTATGAACAGTTCATTGCATAACATACTCTCCAAATTTTCTCACAGCATTTATTATGTACTCATGCAATATACAAAAGAAATAAAAACAAGCACTATGAGTTTATGTCTACAGAACAGGATAACAATATACAAAACAATAGAATAGTATACATACATATATACATATGTCATATCATTTTAAAATATTAACAAAACCCTGGCTGGTGTGACTCAGTTGGATGTCTTCCTACTAACTAACTGAAAGGTGGCCAGTTTGATTCCTGGTCAGGGTAAATGCCTGGGTTTCGGGTTTGGTCCCCAGTTGGAGTCAGTGCAGGAAGCAACTGATTGATGTGTTTCACATCAATGTTTCTCTTCCTCTCTTTCTCCCTCCCTTCCCCTATCTCTAGCATCAATGAAAGAAAAAAAAATAAAATATTAGCATCTATTTATAAGTACTTACTATATGGAAAACTCAAAATTAGCAGTAGGAGAAATATAGTACAGTAACTATTTTCACAGTCCCCAAGATTACATCAGGTTTGATGGTTCACTTTCTAGATTTACAAAACTCAACCATGTCTTCCATGGCTATGGCTTACTACAATGAAAGGTGGCAAAACAAAATTAGGGGGAAAATGGGACAAAGTACAGAGGAAATGAGTCACAAATTTCCAAGAGTCTTCTCTTAATGGAATCACAAAGGATGGGCTTAATTTCTTTACCAACTAATTTTGACATGTGTGAAGTGCTGTCTAACAAGGAAGCTCATTAGAGATTCATTGCCTAAGGTTTCTGTTGGGTTACTGGTTGCACAGACATTCTGTGTCTGGCATACACCCAAATTCCAGACTCCCAGAAGAAAAGCAGACATTCAGCATAAACCACTTTGTTTATAAAATAGTTTAGATGCAGTGAGACACTCTTATCAGTTGGAAGATGATGAGAATACATCTGAAATCCAAGTTCCCAAATGCCAACCAAAAGCCAACCTTGCAAGCAGGCCTTTGTAAGGATGTGGTTTAGCCCAGCTATTGTTGACTCTCTTCTGCACAAAGTTAATAGCACAGTGCTAAAATCAGAGGACCCTGGGCTCATACCCACATTCCGCTACTTACTGATGTGATCTTGAACAAGTTATCTAAATGCTTCACACACCTCAGTTTTTTCAACTGTTATATAACTTTAATTAGGCAATTACATCATCAGATTCCATTAAACAACATCAGATGACCACAAAAATCACATGCAATAATGCACATACAACTCTTAGCACACTGATTACAAATAGTAATAACTCAATAAATATTGATGAATAATAATAGTATATATGGCAGCTGCCTTCACAGAGCTTAGAAATAGAATGTATGAACATGAATCAAACAAATGAAACGGAGGGTAAATGTTTTGTGTGTGTTGTTGTGTATGTGTTACCAACTCTAAGTGCTGTAAGAGTTGTAAGAGTGTTGCAACACTGCAATATATAAGAACCCACAAAAGCTGCCTTGCCAGAGCATGTATTCTTTTGCTACGTGTTATGTAGCCACAACCATAAAAGATAGAGTAGCTGACAGAAGTAGCTTTCAGAAAACAAAAGAAGCAGCTGAAATATAAGTGCCAGTATTGAGTTACACTACTCTCTGAGAAAACTCTCCTTTACAGCTTCATAGTTAATGTGAATGTACCGTTGTACTTGACATCGAAAAGTCTTAGATTGGAAAGCAGGATCTGAAGAAATTAGTGGGTAGATAGTCTGAATTAGATACAGCCTAATGCTTTTGTGACTTTGTTGGAAATAAGATATTATTCCTGCATGACATTTTTTATAACTGCTTGATGGGCAAATAGAACAATGAATTTTGATGAATAACTGCTGTACTTATAGATCCAGATGTAACTATAAGCAGGTACAGAATTTTCTTTTTTTGACATAACTAATGATTAAATATTATGACTACTTGGAAAACATTTGCTGAGTACAAACTTCCAGAATGATTGAATTAATAAATAAATGAATGAATGAGCTCAGAATATAATTAAGCCTATGTTTCATCAACAGGGACACCTGGGAAGCTAGCTCATGTTTAATAAAAATCATATGTGATGAGATCTTTTTTATTTTATCTTTCTTATTAATAACAATAAACTAAGTTGCTTGTAGGATGGAGAGAGGTAATGGATGGTGTTGTTTTACATGTTAGATGCCTCCTCAAGCTAATATTAAGCATTTAGTAATTCTTTACAAGATGATTATACTTTATTTTATATCATAATTTAAATTTTAACCCAGAACTGTTAGCAAGTAGACATATTTTATAAATAGTTGATATTAAGGAGTGAGGAGTTTTGATTATTTCTAAACCATTTATAAAGCACCTCTTTTTTTGTTAGAAAAAAGATTATAGATGGGTTATGTAAATATATCTCATACAGGACATCATTCAACTAAAGTACATAACTTAAAATAAAATTATTTGTTGAAATTATAACTTTTACTGCATCTTGACTGATTCCAATATAGAAATTATCAAAGCTACCACAAAACAAAATAAAACAAAACAAAACAAAAAACAAATGCCAACTCCTCTGAATGCTTTCTTTAGTCTCTACTCTTAATGAGCCACAGTGATACAAGAAGCCTTGATGTGTGTGTGCATGTGTGTGTATATGTACATATATATATGTACATATTATATATGTATACATATATGTACAAATTATATATATATATATAATTTCACATTCATTGCAAATGAGTTGTAAATCATAGCTTATGTTCAAATTTAAATGTATGCACTTTTGGCAAACTTATAAAATGTAGTAATCAGTTAACATTAATTATTGAGGCACCACATAGAAAATAGTATACATGACATCAGTGATACTGAGAAGAAATGTTGTTATTAACCCAAGTAATTGATAAGCATTTTGTATTATTTTATCTTCAGCATTATTATTTATGTGTCAACTGGTTTTACACTAGGAGCTCAAGAAATACTGCATTAAACTGATTTGAATTAAATTGAATTAAATGGAGTTAGTAAAGTAATTGTAAGAAAAATAGTGCCCCAAGTTCCAGATGAAATATAATTTTAAGTTAAAAAGGGAATATGAAATCAAATCATTTACACATTGGCAAGTCTTATAAACTGGCCTGGACTTTCATTGATTCTAAAGCTCAATTGGTACATTGTCCCACTATTTTATAAAGCACCACTAAAGAAAAAAATGCTGTGCATTAAAATAAGATGCAACACTTTATTAATATTTATAACTTTAATTTTATAATTACCAAAAAAGCTTTTTAGACATACTTAAACAGATTATTTTAATCATTTTAATTACTCTAGAATATTTTATGCATACACACATATTTAGAAAATGTACATTAAATAGGTTGAAGAAGGCATTTAAAAACCTTCTTTCCAGTCAGTGTCTGTCTCTTCTAAATTAGTTTTTGAGTCCCCAATGTTCCTGTTTCACATAGGAAATTGTTCTGTTCACCCTTGAGGAAGCATATTTTAATTAAGAGACCCACCATTTTTCTCTAGTAATTCCATGTACACCACTGCACCCATTCTGTACATTTGCTGCTGGTACTGTTTTGACCTTACCAGAGTGTAACAACAGAAGATTTTTCAGATAACAGTGAGGATTGCATATTCCTTTTGAAATGGCCCTTAAGTGGTTTCATTGAAATGTGAGTTATTGCCATTGTGCAACCAAGCCACAGAAATAATAATCCAGTTCAAGCATTCATAGGCCTATGACTGAACCCTGAAGAAAAGAAATTGTTAAGAGATCATCAGGTGTAAGATATCCTTATTTCTAATGTTGACAGTATAATAAGATATGGCAACAATAGGTGTCTTAGAATCAAAGAAATATGGTATTAAAGAAAAATCATAGTGGATTCTAATAAAAAATTTGAACTCTAATTAAGAGCATGTGTGTGTGTGCACATAGTATACTAAAAAATAAAACTCTAACACACACAAGTCATTTATGTAATGCCTAGATTTTTGCTACATAAATTTACTTGCACTTATGAAGATACTGAGACAGTTGAGCTATGTCTTGTTAAAAAAACTTTTCCATCAAAAGTTGAGTGATTATAGTCATAAAGTATATATTAAGCAGTTCTAATTTATTATGTTATGTCCTTTCATATGTATGGCTAAAGATAACCAGTCAAACTAATTGGGAAATATTGAAAGTCTTCATTATTTTCTGTGTGAACTACAATTTTTCTTTGATAATTAAAATGTTCTTTCTCAGCTTTCAAAATTAACAATGTTAAAAATAAATAAATGGCCCAGCAACTGAATATTTCTTACTCTCATCTCTACTCAGGTCCCTTAAGCAGTATTTTGGTGAATAAATATGGTAGCAGGCCAGTGGTGATGGTGGGAGGCTTATTATGCTCTGCGGGAATGGTTGCAGCCTCGTTTAGTTCCAGCGTGATAGAGCTCTACCTCTCTGTTGGACTCCTTGGAGGTAAGTTTTGTTTTCAGCTTGTTATCTTAAAACTGATGTTGTTTACAAAGCTCTCTAAAAAGCATGAACAAGAGAATATCTTACGGTTTTCCTTAAAATTTGTTTTTATATCAGATACAATCTTAAATTATTTTTAAAATTATTTTTACCTAGTATATGGAAATATTAGCAATGGGATGTCCAATTGAAATCATTTTAAGTGACAGAAAAAAGGATTTATCAGACATGTAATGCAGTGTGATATAAATGTCAAAAACAGAACAACTTCGGCATGTTTTTATTGTTTTACCCTTTACTCTTCAACCAGTTAAGATAACAGAGACTTTCTGGCACATAAATAGCTTCATTGTTAAAAAATGTATTTTTCATTACTTATTACTATTTAGAGTATCTCATGTACATTTATAATAGGTTGAAAATGGTGCCAGAAAGATATTTTCTGGATGCACTGACTCAGCTTTAGAAATAAAATTATTGGTGTCTGTGTTCTGTTTATGTAGAGCTTGGTGATGATGCCCTTTTTTTCCTCACTAGGATTCTGTTTAAAAACCCTACAAGGCCCATTCGCCACTAAACACAGACATTTTCAAATGACATACTGCCATTTGATTATAGTTGTTTCTCATGCATAGTCTCTGGACTCAAACTGACCTGAATATGTATGTTTAGAAAACACTATTTTTTTTAACCTCAATAATAAATTGAATCAAAGAAATATATACTTCATTTTGAGAAAGATTAGACTTCAAAATATAAATTAAATACTATTCTTATGCCCACAGATAAAAAGATAAATATTTTCTCTTTATACTATGATTTTAGATCAGCTTAACCTTGCACTTATATATCATGTGATAAAAAAATAGACTCATTAAAGCCTATAACATATTGATGGTAAAAATCTTTCTCTTTACTATCTATCGACAACTCTCTTCTTTTTTGATATGTTAAAACACCTTTTATAAGTGAGAATCTTATTATATCTACAAATTGTCACAGTGGAGAGAATGTCCTTTCCTTTGTGCTGAAATACTATAGTTGACAATGAAAATAAAGCAAATCAATGTAGTAGGGAAAAGATGATTTTGGTATTGTTGTCCTATAAATATCAACAGCACTATACAGGGTGGGGCAAAAGTAGATTTATAGTTGTGAGTAGGCAAAAGTTTCTTATTTTATTATTTATTAAAATTGCATCATTTTCCATACAAATAATTGTAAGCTTACTTTTACCCCACCCTGTATATTATTCTAACTTCAGTTCTATTCCTGTGAGTTGTGACAGCTTTGGTGCTTCTAGAGTCAACCATTAAATACAACTACAAGAAATTTATCTTAAATAATCACCAGCCAATAGATTTTGGTATCTGAAATCAGACAGATCTTTTTGAAAACCTGATGCAGAACATATTTGCTTCGTGATCATGGGTAAATTAACCTCCTTGTGCCCCGTACTCTTTGTCTTTAAAATAAATGATATCTTTATTCTTTGGGAGTTCTTGGAATAATTAAATGAAAATATTAACATATAATACTTTATATTGCCCAATATTTTGTTACTTTTACATAAATATTAGCAAATAATAATACTAATCACAATTCATTATACAATGTCACATGCCTGGTCAGGGCATATGCCTGGGTTTCAAACCTGGTCTCCAATTGGGGCACATGTGAGAGGCAACTAATTGATGTTTCTCTCACACATCGATTTATCTCTCCTCTTTCTCCCCACACCTTTAAAAATAAGTAAATAACATATTTTTAAAAAGAAAATAATTTGTATTAAATGTTTGTAATAATTATTTTTACTCAGAACTGAGTGTCCCAGAATCTATATACTTAACTACTTTGCAGTGCTGTCTCAATTTACATAAACTGGTAAATGCAGAATTCTTTTATAGCCCTTAAAATAATATGGAATAATACTTAGGCTAAGAGTAAAAGAAAGATAATTTCTATAAGTCAATTTTATGTACTTTTAAAACAGACTTATTTGTTACTATTGCTAAATAGTACCTTGGCAAACTATAAGAAATATCTCATTTTCAAAGGCAGTATTTAGCACTGCCAAGGAGTTCCCTAGACAGCAGGAACTTTTGACTTATATAAGCAATAACCTTTACTCCCTGAAATAAGAATATGTTTCAAGCCCAAATATTTATTTTTTAGCTAATACACATGTGCATCTATATTCATGAGATGTGTAATGTAAAGGATATAGAACTTGAAACAAATGACATTAATTTTTTATTATTTTATTATTTGCATAGTGTTGAAGATATATCTCTGGGGACACCCAAGATTGTTTGTAAGTGACAAAGGTTCTAGTCTGTTCAACTCTGAAAAGAAAGCATTTTAAATGTGGCCTTTTCCACAAGGAAAAAAATCTATCCCATATATATGAATATCATTATAAAAAGAGATGAAAATCTGTGGAATTAAGTGATTATAATTATAAGAACTAATCATTTTGTCTTAGTTTCAGTCTATTCTATGATTAGTTAAACATCAGTAAAAGTTTTTGGTTTTACTTTTGTGGTTTGAAATGAAAGGTCTATGAAACTGTTGGACATACCAAGTGCCCAGGTGTGAGAACCTTTGTATGTGCCATTCTATTGATTTTGTCATTAACAAAAATCACTACCTGCCACTGCATTTCGAGTTCTGCCTCACCCAGTTCAATATACATTGTGAGGAGTCATTGCTTTCATGAGTGGCATAACGCATGCATGTTTCTCTTTCTTTTGTTTTGTTCTTTGCAGGTTTAGGTCTGGCCTTCAACCTGCAACCTGCCTTAACAATCATTGGCAAATACTTCTATAAAAAACGGCCACTGGCAAATGGAATCGCCATGGCAGGAAGTCCTGTGTTCTTAAGTACTTTAGCTCCTTTCAATCAGTTCCTTTTTAATACTTACGGCTGGAAAGGGAGTTTCTTGATTTTGGGAGGAATATTGTTGAATGCCTGTGTTGCGGGGTCCCTCATGAGACCCGTTGGACCCACACAAACTGCTAAGTCTAAAACTAAGATTGGCGTGACAGCACATGAGGCAAGTGTGGAGAAAAGCCATCAGAAGACATCGATATGGAAAACAATTGATAAATATTTTGATTTCTCCCTTTTCAAGCATAGGGGATTTTTGATATACTTATCTGGAAATGTCATTATGTTCCTAGGATTTTTTGCCCCCGTTATATTTTTGGCTCCATATGCTAAAGATAAGGGAATTGATGAGTATTCTGCAGCCTTCTTGCTGTCTGTCATGGCTTTTGTTGATATGTTTGCGAGGCCTTCTGTAGGATTTATTGCAAACTCCAAACTCATTCGACCTCGAATCCAGTACTTCTTCAGTTTTGCAGTCATGTTCACCGGAGTGTGTCATCTCTTGTGCCCGCTGGCACAGGACTACACGAGCCTGGTGTTTTACGCTATATTTTTTGGCCTTGGATTTGGGAGTGTTAGCAGTGTCCTCTTTGAAAGTCTCATGGACCTCGTTGGTGCTCAGAGATTTTCCAGCGCTGTGGGACTCGTCACAATTGTGGAGTGTTGCCCAGTTCTTCTTGGGCCTCCTCTTGCTGGTAAGAATATTTCCCATCAAGGAAAACAAAAAGCAGAAAATCAATGGTCATTAATTGAGACTTTCTTTGTAGCACATAATGTGCCTTGTAAGAAAAAAAAAATACTAATAGCCTGGAAGGCTGTGGGTGTGTTAATTTTAGGTTTTATTATGTGTTTTTAAACTTCATAATTAGCTGAATTTAGATCTAAATTTGTTTCAGAACCTGAATATATGAACTTAAGAATTTAAGTTAAACTGACAATTAGTAGCATAATTTTTAGGTTTTTACCCATAGCAGTTGTTTTATACTTTTAAAAATGTATCATAAAAATGTCTCTTTTTAATTATCGTGTTAATATTGCCAAACCATGGCACCAGTTGTGGCTATGACAGTAACTGATTTGTGGGCCTTCTTGAAGCTCTCATCCTATAGCCAGAATACTTCCATTTTTTTCATCCTGTTTCTGCCTCCTGCTACCCTGGACACTCCACAAGTGGTGTCTGGTGCTCTGTTGGCACTCTGGGAGTACTTTTGAACAGATGGGTCTTGCTGTAGTTACTTCTCACACAATTGCTGCTGTCTCTGCTTCTCTTCTTAGTAAAGCAGTAAGGGGTAGGGAAAGCATGGTTTTAATTTGTTTCAGCCCAAATTTTCACTGCTGTGCTCACACAGAGCTGAAACTTTAGTTCTGGAAATCATGTATTGTTCCCTTATGATGATAAAAAATTCCCAAAACATTTAGAAAGTATGTAGCTATGGTAGCCCAAGGTGACATTACCTCTGATGGTGTCATAGAACTAATTTTTTAATGTATTTTGAAGTATCACAGTCACTGTATGCATAGAAATATTGACTTAAAATTAGAATGGAAAATTAAATTATGCTATTTTTCTTATGCTCATGTATGCATCATATTTATTCAAATAAACCTATTCCATCATTTACCTAGTTAAAACAAGGAAGCCTGTTCACATAGATAATTTTATAAGCAGCTACATTTAATATTAGCTACTGACAAGATTTTGGTCAGAATGAGAGAGATTCTGATTAAACAAGTAGGTCTATGTCAGAATCACCAGGAATTAGCATACAGTAAAAACATGAATTTGTGTACACTCAATTTTTCTGATAATTATTGTTAAGATTTAAGTTTCTGCAAAAGCAAGAGGCAAAACTGTGTACTGAAACATTTTTAAAAGTTAATAAACCCTCAGATTATAGGGTACCAGGTTAGTTTTTAAATGTTTTTAATAATCAAATGAAATAAATTCTTCCTGATTAATGTCTTAATAATTTAGATTCAGATAAACTAGAAAAAAAACTGTGATTAAGCCATAGGAGTGACTTAACACTTAACCAGAAGTTTGGTGAAGCCATTTTACATATCAGTTACCAATTTGAGATTCATACAGACTTTGACTTGAACCAGATTCTGCCACTCTCTGACTACGGAACCAGGTCAGATTTCTTCAGAGTGACCTGGTAGGGTTAAATGAGATATTGCAAAGAAAAATGTTTAGCCTCATGCTGGGCATAGAAAAAGAATTTAGTAAACATTTCACCCTGTTATGAACTTTATAAAAGTCTTTAGGTCTTTCCTAAAGAATATAGTTTTCCCCTTTACTGAGAAGATAGGAAGCATGGAAAGGAATGAAGCAATCTAAAAATGTATGCTGTAAGTTAATAGATAGGTAAGTATATCTACTTCTACATGTATAGATATAAAAATGTACCTCACACATGTATGTATTTATGAAATTGCACCCCAAAGCATATATACTTACTTTGTCTTAATTGTGCATTTTTATTGAGGGAAATAATGTTCAATAATTTTAATATACTGGTAATATAATGTTGGATGTGCCCATATGTGCCTTCATTTACATATATAAAAGTATTATCTAGACTACTTTTGCTTTATTAAAAATCATTTAATATTAACTTAAGGAATAAGTACTTTGTGGAAGAATTTATTTGAAAATTTCATTATTTATGGCTTATTTATTATTTTATCCTAAAAGATGTTTTTTTATCTCTTAGGTAAATTGGTGGATGAAACTGGAGAATATAAATATATGTATCTGGCCTGTGGAGCTATTGTGTTCTTATCAAGTGTGTGGCTGCTCGTTGGCAATGCTATAAACTATAGATTGCTTGCAAAGGAAAAGCAATTGGAAGAAGCAAAGAAAATTCATAAGCCTGTGTTCACAGAATCTGAACCCTTGAGGCAGTCTAAAGAATGTGACGTTGATATCAAAAGTACGAGAGGAGAGAGTAATTTCTCAGAAAGAGAAACTAATATGTAGCAAGAATCACGTCTCTGATTTTAGTGTTTATGACTTTTTTAGCAGTGTTTTTTCCAAAATATTGGAAAGGATTTTAATTGAAATAAAACTCCATAATTAACAATGGATATGAGACTTTTCTCAGTGGAAGATCTTAAATGTTTCTTTTTAAAAATTTGTTTAGGCAGGTAAATTTGAGATTATGCATCTAAAGAATCAATGCAAGGACTTTATTTCTGATTGTGATAATTAAAATAACTTTCAACTCTTCCAGTGACTTCCAGTCTTGATTACAGAGATCCAAACTCCAAACTCCTGGTTTAAGTAATTAGGAGTACATTTAATCCTATAAGAATTCCCTCTCCACATTTCACTTTTTTAATATTAAAGTGTGAAATGGAATTAAAGGAAAAAGAATTTCCACTTGCAGTCTCTGGAGAACAAGACAAGTAATTTCAAAAGGAGTATCACTAATTATATTTTTTTACCTTAAAAAAAATCCATGGAGAAACAAGAAATGAAGTGTGTTATATCTGTATACTACTGTGCAATGTGGATCTTAAAGATAAGAACATGGGTGAAAATGAGGTGATCTTAATTTGAAAATATAGCTAACTGTTGTAAAAAAGAAAAGCATTTGCATACATAAAATAATATTGAAAAAAGCACTCCATTTAAAACCATTATTTCTGAACACTGTTGGATTTGATTAATCCATGCACATGATTTCTTTGAAAGGGCCATTAGTACCTGGTGCTAGAGAATAGAATCCTCAAATAATTTTGAGAATTTTTACCTAATGTGTAAATTATATTAAAAGCCTACATTACTCTAAGCAATAAGCTATGTCCATTGATTTTAAAAAGGATTTTTGTTAGTAATCCGGAAAGTAATAACCAGGGATTCATTTTAACCAGAACTCATACTGAGACATCAAGTGGAATCAGCCTGAATCCAGTAGACAGTCATGCAGATAGGCCAAGCTCTAATTTTTCCCAACATGTAGTGGTGATCAGTGGTGTACTGTAATCAGTGATCCAACTGCATAAAGCTAAGAGTGGGAGGTGCTTATAATGAACCCTCTGAAGTCTCATCCTCCTCCCTTCCCCAAAATGCAAAAGCAAAAAACAAAACTCACAAATAGGCTTTTACTCAGCCACTGAAAATGCCTCACTATAAGAATGGCAGCACTTGCAAATTCTGCCCTTTACTGATTGACTTTCTGCTGCATCTGAACACAACTAAGCCAGGAGACTGTTAAAAACAAAACAACAACAAAACAACAACAAGAGCAACAAAAAATGTCTAGGTTCCAAGCTAGGTATACATTTTGGAGGTGTAGGGCTCGTGCATAACACAATAGCAAGCAGCTTGCAACTGCAGCCAGATTAATTGAACAGTTTCTTATTTTCATAACTATGTGAAAACATCTGGGACTCTGAATCACTTTTGAATACAGTCACATATGATGGTTCTACTTTTAACCAAGAAGGAAACTGTGCATTGAGACTAAAGTTATAAATATTTAAATACATCTACAGATCTGAAGTTTAAGATCATGGTTAATAAAAATCATTCAGTACTTGATTACTGAAGTGTTGTCACTCTTAAGATGGCAAAAGAAATTTGCTGTTTTCTTTTATTGCAGTAGAGGCAGGTGCTATTCTTATTTCTAATAAGATTGTACCTGGATACCAGGTTTTTGTGATACTTAACGTTAAGGATTTGCTTTGTAAAATGTATGCACTGTTTAAGCAGTTATATAAAATTCCGTATTTCATTTAACATTCACTTTTTGCATATGAAAGAGTTATTTATATTTTTCAAATATTAAACAAAACAATATGTGCCAATACCATAGGTAAATTAATCAGGGAGATGTAACTATATACACTGATTTTTTAAATTCAATTTTGCCCAATCTTAAATCTTGAAGGATCTATTTTCATATGTCACTGATTCATCATAAGAAATGCAACATCATAAATTAATAGCTCTACAATCTTAAACATTCCCAAAAGTGTCTTAAATTCTCTGAAGGTAACTAAATTAATATAGATATCAGACCTGGGTGGTGGGGGATTAAACAGCAAAATAAAGATTGTGGGGTTTTAGGTCTAAGGCTGTAGTCCTTTTTATCTCCTGCTAGTAGAGACATGCTGGTGTGGTGGGTGCATTCCAGTGGCTTTCTCCATGAAAGGAGGTTCATGTACATACCAATAAATTTCTTGTCAAAAACCAATTCATATTTATTCCTTGCTTATTTTCATTATCTTTTCATTTCTGATACTGATTATAATAAACTGTTAAAAATAGAAAGGGAAGGGAAATTGTGCAAAGCACATGACATGATATATGTAGTTGTGGCTGATAGTGACAATGCACAAAGTTAGAAATATGCACACACACAAATTCCCAGACATAAATATTGAAAATTCAATCAGAACATACCTGAAACAGTGATGTAAACTCACATACAAGACTCAGAATTGTTCCATGATAAAATAAAATTTTCTACTGGTTTACTCTTCCCATTCCCTTAAACTTGTTAAAATATCTAGTATTTGTTGCTTTAGCTGAATCTTTCAAAGATTGAAAAGAGAATATCATCTTAGAATATTGATTATTATGTAGTCACACTAATGGAGGAGGACGTGTAGCTGGCTTCTGTGTCTGCAAGTATTAGTGCAGAATATATTTCTTCCCCTAATGAAACTATGGTATTTCAATGTTCAAAATACCATGAAGCAAAGTCAGAGAACACTGTTAACCCTCTTCAATCCTAGTCCCCCATAATGGAATTATACAGAAGGAAGATTTTCTTAAACCAGAGTATAACATAATTCACAACCACTGGCTAGTTTATTTTTCCATTTGTGGTACCTGAGCTCCCCATATTTTTCACCATTTCAGCTTAAATATGCCTTTACTAATTTATGAGTAGAATATTGGGTATAAACTTGTCTTGTGTTATCCCCACCCTCTTTCCTGATCATTTCTAGATCCAATCAGCACAAATTCAAGAGGCAATGCATCAGGCTCTTATGTATTTCATGTTGGAAAACGTGATGTTTTCTCAATGTAACTTCACATGGCTCACAACTTTCACTTCTTTAGGACCATGTTCCAACTACCTGATCTCCACTCCCTTCCCCAGACACTAGGAAATACGTAAAATTGTGAGGTTTGATACACTTGAATGTGACTTTAGAAAGCTAGGTATTTTTTACTCATCCTTCTTTGGTTGCACATGACAATTGAGGATACAGAAAAAGACCACAAGATATACGAAGGGGGACCCCCAAAAAACAGAATCATCTTCGGGATGGTGAGCCCCTTGTAGTACAGGCTTCTCTAGCTACATGAGTGTTCTAGGAACCTACCTGGATCAGTGTATGAGATGAAGTTGTGAGAGAGGCTGTGTGCAGCTTCAGTGAATTTTTTTGAAGACTCAGTGCATTTGTGCATTTCATAATGGCTGATTTGCAAGCGCACCTGCCCACACCATGCTGAGAGTTCAGCAGTGTTTGACGACAAAAGACATGACCCCCACATCCCACCCTCCCTATTCACCTGATCTCACCCAGAGTGACTTTTTGTTTTCCCAGATGAAAAAAGTCCTGAAAGGGAAACATTTTGCTTATGTGGAAGAATGAACCAAAAAATGACAGAAACACTAAAAGGCATTAAAATTGATGAGTTCAAAAACTATTTGGAGCAGTGGAAAAACAATATCTCAATAGGTGTATCACATCAAATGGAGAGTATTTTGAAGGTGACTGAAGTTTAAACATGTAAGAGTAAATACACAACTTTTATAAATACTGGGGGGTTTTTGGTCCCTCCTTGTATGATGTAACTTGATGTTATAAAAGCTAGAGTTACCTTTAATCAGTTAGTTGAAACTTACTTTCCATCCAAAAAAAATACATTTCCTTAAAAAAAACCTCTCATTTGTATAATATTTCAGACTTTTAATAAACCAAAATAAAAAGTATGACTGTTAGGCTCAATTTAATAGGGAGAAAGAATGCAAAGTGGGAAAGGAACTAGTATTTATGTATTATGCATTTTGCCTGTCTAATACCTTTTGATATTCAAGCCAAATCACAGATAGAGGCTGATACTGGCCTGATATAATAGATGAGTGAAACAAAACCCAAAACAGACATGCAAAGGAATTCAGCAAATTACCAATGTTGAAAGGTAACATGTGGCAGAATCCAAACTAAAACTCAGGTTTATCCGAAAGCAGAAAGAGTCCGTAGGGTGTTCACTGCCATGCTGCCTCCTAATAGAAGCTGTAGAGGCAAAGCTATGATACAGTACAGGTACAAACAATTTAAACCTGATGTGGTAAACCAATTAGGTTTAACTTCAGTTTGTATTATGATTTATACAGTGTTTATTAGAGGCTGCATTTGGTATAACCTGAATACATAATTTCAAGTTGGCTGCCTTTCTAGTCAATGCACATTATCCCAGATTATGTTAATGATTATATAATATCCATAATTGTTTTAATGTGACTTTTTCATAAAAGTAATGACATATTTTTATGACTCAAGCATAATACATTTTCCCCGAGGTTGGATTTAGAAGAGAAATGTTATTTTCTTTATGGATAAGTAATTCCCATATCGGTTGCTACTTATAATGACTAAAGAATTAAGAGTACTTACTGTGGAACATTGTTTTCAGAATCATGATACCCATTTACAGGATTATCCTAAATTGCCAAAAATAACTTTAAAAAGTTTATGATATACAAATGATTGGGTTCATCTATGCAATATGTATTCATCCCCATCATTTTATATAATGGCCCCTACATCCTTACTCATTTTTCAAGTTTTCATAGACATCTGCATTGTCATTCTTTCTATCCATTTGTCTGAACAAGTGCCATTGCTTTTTCCTCTAATTCTAGACTTTTGGTGTCCTTAGAATATTGTTCTCCTTAGCTTTATTTCAGATGGTGCACTTGTAATGCCTTAAATCCTTCACAATGTCACCATGCTGCATCTGGTCTCATTTGTGATTCATGGCAATGGCCATATTTCTGGGGCCAACAGTGTATACTTTTGGCAATTACCATTCATCTTCACAAATAAAGGAACTTGTATGAATGTAGATGCAAGGTTTCCTGGATAAGGAAGGTGCATATATTCTAGTTTTTTGTTAAAATGCCTTCCTTATGTATGATACATATATACTTGAACGTAGATTTTTAAAAATCTATAAATATCGATCTTTCTGTCCTAGGCCCTTGCTATCCTGTATGTTTCTAATTTTCTTAAACTTCCTGACAACTTGGAGAAACCAAACTTACCATCCAGCATAACACCATAATATCCATCTTGTGTTGATACAGCATACTAAGTAGATTTCTTACCCCAACACTTCACAGTACCGAAGAGCATCCAAATTATTGACATAAAAGTTGAAATCAGTCTTTACTCATGTCAGTTTTATAAAATTTTGATTTCTGCATATCCTGGTATATAATCTCATGTTTGAGAAAGCCGAGAGGTCTAATTATCTGTAATTATAACACTTATATAATTGAAATCATAAGCTATCTCTGTTGATAATTAAAAATTGAATAATTCGCTGAGCTCCTGTCACTCTTTCATTCTGCTGTTCTCTTCTCTGCTGCCAGCAGTTTGTACACGGTGGGTGTTGACTCTGCAGGACCCTGCAGTCTGGTTTCCTTCAGTCTTCTATCTCTCACTGCTTTCCTCACACTATTTGACTGGTGTTCAGTCCACGAAAGAATCATTGGGGTAGTGTTGAGAGTTACAATGTTACATCTCTGCCTTAAGAGGAAAAGTAAAATTGCAGAAAAGCTTTTCAGTTTTAGTGGAACATACGGGAATTTTTAGACTATATCATTTCGACCAATTCCATGCTACTTTACCTTCTTCCTTCCTTTTATTTGTATAATAATTTTTAATCATTTTCTTTTAATAGTTTTTTACAGTGTTTTGATCAAATTATTTAGCATTTTTAATGTAATTGTGGATATTGTTAGTATAGGATTTTTTGCATAATCCCCATATTTTTCAGTCTTCAGAGGTACTTGTTAGTAAGGTGTGCAATATTCAGTCTTTCAGCAGGTGTTACTCAGTGATCATAAATTCATTCTCTTTTCAGCAAATATTTTTCCTCACACAGTATAACAAGCTTTTTGCCCTTTAAGTTCAAATATGGCAAAATCAGCTAGAGAAGCTCTGTGTGAGAACACTGGTACTCAATATTCTGTCTAGGTGTAGATCTGTAAAGAGTTCTGGTCAGATGAACAAAGGAATGGAATTCTTGTCTCACATGAATGTCAGGGTTAAATTTTAAAATGTTCTTCTAAGACTCTTATTCTAGGTTTGTTGTTGTTTTACTTTGACATGCATCTAAATAAAGGATTTTAAGTTTGACCCAGTTTACATAGCTGTTCATTAAAGTAGAGCACACATTTCTGATTTTATTTTTCTACCACATGCTATTCTAAATATAAAATATTTCTGGGTTTAGTAAGAAAGGACATGGGTACTGAACTGTTTATTTTCTAAGCATTGTATGTAATTTTTATTTGTATTGTATTTTTAATATATTTATGTTTCAAAGATATACTTAATTAGTTTCACCTTCTCAACCCTCTAAGTTAGGTTTGTTAGATATTCACAGTTTTGAAAACGATGCTAGAACAGGCCGAGGGCTCTGTATGGACACACACCTGTCCCATGACTAGACGACTGCATGAGCCACTCTGTGCGTGGTGGGGAGCTCTGCTGAGTGAGTGCTTACTTTACTGGAATTGTAGTCTGACATGTCTGGAAAAGATAAGTTTCCTTTATTTCCGAATGAATATATTTCTCCTAACTGAATGTCACTCACAAAATTGTGGTTTTAAATTTAATTTGAAGACTATTTGCTGATTCTCACAACAGATAATTCTGAGTAAATTAGTCATAATAACTAGGGGGATGAATGTTTTTGCCCAATACTCATTGTTATAGCAATATGTTAGTCATGAAAAATACCCATTGGTAGTATATTTATAGAATCTGTGTGTCAATATTCCATTAATTCCCTTTTTTAGCTTATGTTCATATGTTATTTTAGAAGCCTTATTCACTTACTGGTTTCTCAAAAGTATAATGCCACAGCATAGAACACACAATACAAATTTGTTGAATTACTAAGTCATCTGCAAGAAACTATTGCCATTGTATAATCTTGGGGAGA